AATAGTTTACTTTCAAAATAGGAGTGAAAAATACTTTCAAAACAACAGGAAGCACGGGTGAAACACAAACGAGACATCCAAAGTCGACAAACCAACAAAGGCAAGTGGCGAATCCGGAGTTTGCTTTTGATTAAAAGAATCCACGCTTAGCCTGAGAAACCGCCGACCGATTTCGATTCAACGCGCTTGAATGACTTGCAAAGCAGGCCGCCAACGAGATCGACGGCGCCTAATACTGTGGGGGCCGCGCTAACGGCCTTCAGCGGGTAGGGTGGACGTACGGCCATTGGGGAGACAAGCATGGTAAGTTACCATCCCCAGCCTCCGCCGCAACCCACACCGCCGCCCCAGCCCCAACCGCCTCCCCAGCCAGCGCCGCCACATCCCCACGGACGGCCCCAGCCACCTCCCCAGCCCCACGGACTTCCTCCCCAGCCCCACTCCTTCTTGTCCTTCGGCTCGCCTGCCGTCGGCTGCGCGTCCGTGGCCTCCGCCGGTCCGGTTGCGGTGGCGACGACAGTCCCGACCTTGGGAGCGTCAGCCAGAGCTCGAAGCGCGGGCGATTCGGCAGCAACGACGCCCGCGGTGGCGAGCACTGCTGCGACGGCAATGGTGGTGCACTTCATGTTGCTGCTTGGGTACTTGCTAGCTTGGTGTCGAGGAGGCAAGTTGCGGTATGGTGAATGACACCACGGGTGCGGCCGAACGTCGGTCCAAGGCGTCAGCACACGTTGGCTCCGCGCGGAGATTTCCGTCGAAATCGGCCCCTTTCCGCATCAATCAGGAGATTTTTCGTCTTGCAGGCGATTCAGAGGATCGCATGCTTCGATTAAAGTTAGTCGATGAGAGTGCTACGAATTCGAGGGAGTATTCGATCGGCTGGGCACTCTGTAGCGGTGTTTTTATTGATTTTGCTTACCGTTTTGTCCGTTTGTTTGTCTAGAGAATAAACTGCTGTGAGAATTTTCGGGTGACTCATTGCTTGCACACACAAACAATGTGAATGCGTACAGTACATGTGCAGCATGCGCGTGTATGAAGTATGGCATTCGCCTAGCGCGGAGTGGTTCCAACCAAAATAGTGAAACCCAACATTCAGGCGCTATGTTGCGTCGCCTTCATTTTCTGAACTATTTTCAGGGCGCATGTAATAGTTTACTTTCAAAATAGGAGTGAAAAATACTTTCAAAACAACAGGAAGCACGGGTGAAACACAAACGAGACATCCAAAGTCGACAAACCAACAAAGGCAAGTGGCGAATCCGGAGTTTGCTTTTGATTAAAAGAATCCACGCTTAGCCTGAGAAACCGCCGACCGATTTCGATTCAACGCGCTTGAATGACTTGCAAAGCAGGCCGCCAACGAGATCGACGGCGTCTAACGCTGTGAAAGGCCGCGCTAACGGCCTTCAGCGGGTAGGGTGGACGTACGGCCATTGGGGAGACAAGCATGGTAAGTTACCATCCCCAGCCTCCGCCGCAACCCACACCGCCGCCCCAGCCCCAACCGCCTCCCCAGCCAGCGCCGCCACATCCCCACGGACGGCCCCAGCCACCTCCCCAGCCCCACGGACTTCCTCCCCAGCCCCACTCCTTCTTGTCCTTCGGCTCGCCTGCCGTCGGCTGCGCGTCCGTGGCCTCCGCCGGTCCGGTTGCGGTGGCGACGACAGTCCCGACCTTGGGAGCGTCAGCCAGAGCTCGAAGCGCGGGCGATTCGGCAGCAACGACGCCCGCGGTGGCGAGCACTGCTGCGACGGCAATGGTGGTGCACTTCATGTTGCTGCTTGGGTACTTGCTAGCTTGGTGTCGAGGAGGCAAGTTGCGGTATGGTGAATGACACCACGGGTGCGGCCGAACGTCGGTCCAAGGGGTCAGCACACGTTGGCTCCGCGCGGAGATTTCCGTCGAAATCGGCCCCTTTCCGCATCAATCAGGAGATTTTTCGTCTTGCAGGCGATTCAGAGGATCGCATGCTTCGATTAAAGTTAGTCGATGAGAGTGCTACGAATTCGAGGGAGTATTCGATCGGCTGGGCACTCTGTAGCGGTGTTTTTATTGGTTTTGCTTACCGTTTTGTCCGTTTGTTTGTCTAGAGAATAAACTGCTGTGAGAATTTTCGGGTGACTCATTGCTTGCACACACAAACAATGTGAATGCATAAAGTACATGTGCAGCATGCGCGTGTATGAAGTATGGCATTCGCCTAGCGCGGAGTGGTTCCAACCAAAATAGTGAAACCCAACATTCAGGCGCTATGTTGCGTCGCCTTCATTTTCTGAACTATTTTCAGGGCGCATGTAATAGTTTACTTTCAAAATAGGAGTGAAAAATACTTTCAAAACAACAGGAAGCACGGGTGAAACACAAACGAGACATCCAAAGTCGACAAGCCAACAAAGGCAAGTGGCGAATCCGGAGTTTGCTTTTGATTAAAAGAATCCACGCTTAGCCTGAGAAACCGCCGACCGATTTCGATTCAACGCGCTTGAATGACTTGCAAAGCAGGCCGCCAACGAGATCGACGGCGTCTAACGCTGTGAAAGGCCGCGCTAACGGCCTTCAGCGGGTACGGTGGACGTACGGCCATTGGGGAGACAAGCATGGTAAGTTACCATCCCCAGCCTCCGCCGCAACCCACACCGCCGCCCCAGCCCCAACCGCCTCCCCAGCCAGCGCCGCCACATCCCCACGGACGGCCCCAGCCACCTCCCCAGCCCCACGGACTTCCTCCCCAGCCCCACTCCTTCTTGTCCTTCGGCTCGCCTGCCGTCGGCTGCGCGTCCGTGGCCTCCGCCGGTCCGGTTGCGGTGGCGACGACAGTCCCGACCTTGGGAGCGTCAGCCAGAGCTCGAAGCGCGGGCGATTCGGCAGCAACGACGCCCGCGGTGGCGAGCACTGCTGCGACGGCAATGGTGGTGCACTTCATGTTGCTGCTTGGGTACTTGCTAGCTTGGTGTCGAGGAGGCAAGTTGCGGTATGGTGAATGACACCACGGGTGCGGCCGAACGTCGGTCCAAGGGGTCAGCACACGTTGGCTCCGCGCGGAGATTTCCGTCGAAATCGGCCCCTTTCCGCATCCATCAGGAGATTTTTCGTCTTGCAGGCGATTCAGAGGATCACATGCTTCGATTAAAGTTAGTCGATGAGAGTGCTACGAATTCGAGGGAGTATTCGATCGGCTGGGCACTCTGTAGCGGTGTTTTTATTGATTTTGCTTACCGTTTTGTCCGTTTGTTTGTCTAGAGAATAAACTGCTGTGAGAATTTTCGGGTGACTCATTGCTTGCACACACAAACAATGTGAATGCATAAAGTACATGTGCAGCATGCGCGTGTATGAAGTATGGCATTCGCCTAGCGCGGAGTGGTTCCAACCAAAATAGTGAAACCCAACATTCAGGCGCTATGTTGCGTCGCCTTCATTTTCTGAACTATTTTCAGGGCGCATGTAATAGTTTACTTTCAAAATAGGAGTGAAAAATACTTTCAAAACAACAGGAAGCACGGGTGAAACACAAACGAGACATCCAAAGTCGACAAACCAACAAAGGCAAGTGGCGAATCCGGAGTTTGCTTTTGATTAAAAGAATCCACGCTTAGCCTGAGAAACCGCCGACCGATTTCGATTCAACGCGCTTGAATGACTTGCAAAGCAGGCCGCCAACGAGATCGACGGCGTCTAACGCTGTGAAAGGCCGCGCTAACGGCCTTCAGCGGGTACGGTGGACGTACGGCCATTGGGGAGACAAGCATGGTAAGTTACCATCCCCAGCCTCCGCCGCAACCCGCAC